CTAGATCGATCTCACAGAATATGTACCCTTCCCTTCCCCTGCCGTACATGCCAACGTACGTATGTACGTAAATATGTGATACGTATTCCATATGCCCTCCCCTTTTCTCCTATTTTCTAACAACTCATTACAAAATAGTTTAAATTTTAAATAGCTAAATAACCATGATTCTCAATTTATATACAACATTTGATTCATTTGTACTATTTTCATTTGTAATTAAATAAATACATCAAGATCGGTATTGCATATATTTTGCGAAGGTAAAGAAAAAACTGAAATACGTTTGGACATAGACCCTAGCATGTCAGTCATTAAACAATATAAAAAAAATTGACAACAACTATATCATCTTAAATCATTCTATATATACATATGCACATTAAATTAAATATCATGTAGGACACAAACCATCACCCTTCACATCTTAAAAATTAAGAAATATCGTTGAAATTCTATGAGAAATAAAAAGCAAAACATCCTACTATCATTTTACACTTAAATCGGCAGACGTATTAATTTCAGCCATTAGATATATCATTCTACTCTCATAAGCCGCTACGTATCACATCTTAAAAATTAATAAAAATCACATAAATTCTAAAAGAATGAAGCATCCGACCTCAATAAAATCATTATTTCAGTCATTAGATCTATATTTAAAGAAAAACTATAAAAAAACAAAGTACCATCCCATTCCCCCTCCCCCTCACCTGGATTAACAAAGCTCCATCTTTATATTCTGAAATTATAAATATATAGTAAATGAATAAAAATATCGTGGGAGTATATAAGCATACTAACAAAATCATGGAGTAGGGAAATCGTCAATAATTAACTCAAGTTGCACGCATTAGATTTTTAACTTATGTGGTATGAAAACTATTCTACATGGACCAACGGGAGTGCTAGAAAGGTCCATTAGGACACTTCCAAGGCTACACGTGGCCGTCGATGGAGACAACAATTAATAAAAATTCATACGGAAAAGCGTAATTTTGTAGTAGAGAGAGCATGTCTAATATCATATCACGAAAAGACAACCTTTCATGAGAAATAACATATAAACTATAACTTAAATGATTATCTCAACTCTCCTTTGTACTATGTTATTTGTAGGAGTAAATTTGTCTACTGTGGTCAATATTGTCGATGGCAGTAACATCCTTAACTCTCCTAAGATTTATTTCGAGGCCTAACAAATTAGAGAACAAGTCAGAGCACAATGGGGCCATAGTAAGAATGCACGGGGTTTGTGCGAGTCAGGAATCCCGACAATGGAATTGCCTAAGCATCAACTCTATTTTATACTGACAAAGAATTACATTGGACTCTAGCAAATGAGAGAAAAGTCCGGGCATGGCAGGCGTTGTGCGAGCTAGGCATTCATGGCAATGAAATTGCCAAAGTACAACTCGATCTATTTTGTATTAACAAAGAATTGCATAGGAACTAACTCCACTGTTGAAAAATAAGTTTGTCGTAAATTCAAGATTCCACAATTTTGGTGAATTTTAATTTAGATTTTCTATGTTTTAAGGGTCGTTACAAACAAAATCATAACCAAATTTCAGAGCAATCCCAAATAGATTTTTGAGAGAAGTATCATAAGTTTAAAATATAATAAAAAATCCAAGTAAAAATCAGCCAAATTTATACATTCATAAATCTATTATATACTAAAAGTCCATTGAATTTGCTGCAAACGCTCTCAAGACTACTACAAATGCTCCTAAACCACCACGTGATATTCTAATAAATTAGAAAAAATTCTAGAAATTCTGAGAAAAATAAAAACGTACGGCTCTTGATTGTCACTTAAATCAGTCAACACGTTATTTCCAACTATTAGATCTAATCTTTATAAACTAAAAAAACAAATTGAGAAGGATATGTGCTTCAACGGTGATTCTCACCAAGACTAGCTAATGCGGGAGCCCTTTAATTGTTTATATATGGTGAGCTTGAGTGGTCGTGTAAGTGCTGAAGTGAGAAGCATGGTGATGGTGAAGTTGGTGTGTTTATATACATTGGAGCCATAACTTCAACGTATTGGAGAAAAATAAGGTGAGCCAATGTGGGGCCTTGATTGTTGTGTATGTGAGTAGCTTGAGCAGCTAAGCGGATGCAAACAAAGTAATTATACAAGATGTTAAATTCTTATTTGTTGATAATATATTATAGAAGAACTTAATGGTGCTTTGGAAATACCTTATATTTATTTTGAGAGGTGACTGGAGTGGTGGTGGAGGGTTTCCATATAACTAGGAGCAGCAACCGTGGTTTATAAGTGAACAACATATGTATTCTTATTATTTGATATCTGATAGATCCAAGTTCATGACATATTTGACAGCATATATAGCTCTTTCTTTTCTGTCTACGATAATGAGGTAATTAATAATAAAAATTTAAGGACTATTTTATGGTGTAGATCATCATAGAAAATATTAAAGACGCTCGCGCAAATGCGCGGGTTTCCTTCCTAGTTTCTTAATTTCTTTATCCAATAGATCGCAGTAGCCGCCATAGTAGATTAATTTGCACTATTAATCAGCAGGTTTGACGATATATTTTCTGTTTTACACAGCTGGTCCGATTAGACTTCTGACCTCTATGGCTTCTATATATGTCGAGTTTCCATTCGAGTTGGATACTCTGCTAAGATTTTTAGCTACACATAAAACGATACGAATATAAAATTAGATGGGTTATTAGAATATAATTAACTAAATAGTATTAATTATCATAGATTTTAAATATATTTATTTGCAGAAGAGAACTAAGGGAGTAGTTTACATGGTGTTTTAACTTTCAACTCATGTATATAAATATAAATAAATACTGCGCCTATAGTCCTACTTTTTGATTGATCTGTTCGTCGTTGCAGATAATTTTAGAGTGTCAATCTTGCACATAAATTTACATATATTCTCTACTAAATTAATTTTCGTATAAAGCATGTGCATGTTTTGATAAATTGGAAATTGAAGGTAAAGGAGCGAGGTAGCTATAGCTTCTTCTTATAATTTACCAATTCGACAATCTTACCGTACATGTTTTCATCCTGTAGCTGATGTATATATATATATAACCTGTTGATGTTGACAGTCAACATGCATGTGCCGATTAGTTGGAGTTCTAAGTTCCAACGTTAAAGAAACATGTAATTAACAGTTTCACATACTAATTAATACTAGCATATAACCCGGTTACATCTCTCGTCAAAACAGCAGCGTTTGCCCGCTTCTAGTTCAAACTTCAAAGGAGACACGAACATAAAAAAAAAAAAAGGGACTTACCTGTACTCGCATACGTCTGAATATTTCAGTTAACTTCCAATATCATTTTGACATTGGTATATTTTAAACTATGTATACATCAATGATTAAGAAGCAGAGATAATAAATCTCAAACCTTGATTTGTCAGACGAGCTGAGAGATCAATTGCTTCGGCTCATCATCCGTGGAGTATTTGCTACGTAATCTCTGAACATTCAACTGCGGCGAATTCAATCCAAGAAGTGACATAGTACTAATGAAAGGTAATTCAGGAATAATAGTTCTCTAATTAGCGAAGCTGCTAGGAAATCCTCCACTGAATAATCATGTGCGCTATATATCTGCAACTGATGTTGAAACGAGCCAGTTTTCAACTGATGTTGAGATCGCTTTCCCAATTATTGGTTGACTCTTGAGTTCGTTCATCACGAGTCTATGGGAATTTCTTTGACTAGCCATGAAGCTGTAACATAGACAAGGACAATATCATATTTTAATAATTAGCTGATGCAAATGAAAGGCAATACAGGAATTAATAATTCCTGATTCATGACGCCAGTCTTCTTTATGAAGAATTTATTTTTTAAGGCTTCATTTTCACCCAGGTTAACTACTTTGTCAGACGTGCGTTATTTTTTTAATTTATCCGAAATATTTCTTTGGGTAGTTCCATGATAGAACAGAACTAGATGTTGTACAAAAACGACACAAGCCATACGGAATTTCCATATATATAGAAAACAAGTGCAGCAAATAATATATGTTTATCACGATGATTTGTGTACCACCTCTTTCTCAAATTATTGGTCGCTTTGACTTTTTTCTTGCAATGTTTGACCGTTCGTCTTATTTTAAAAGTTAGTGTAAATGTAAAAAAGATAAGTCATACTTAAAGTGCTTTTGATAATAAGTAAATCACAAACAAAATAAATAATTATTTCATAATTTTTTGAATAAGACGAATGATCAAATTAAAAGTTACAAACAAAAACTCAAAGCGACAAGTATTTTTGAGACGGATGTAGTACCCTTTAACTAGGACATATATTTGGATCATTCATGCATATTTCTGGAAGTGATCAAATTTTGAGGGCAATTTTTACCATCCTTAAAGTAAATGTTGGAAGGTAATATACATTTTATAGTGTAAAATTTGATGCGTTCAAATACTACTACCTCGATGTATTAAAAATTTTTATGTAAAATTTTGATAAATAATGATACTTTCTTAATGAGCATAAAATATCTTATTTCTTGAACTGAAATAGGAGTGTTTCGATCAGGAAACAGCCCCAACAATTTGAGTCTTAATTTCACCGTTTTGTACACAATTAAAGTAAATTAAGTAAAAGAATCAACAAAATGTTCATCACCTTTGACATCTGTCATAGAATTGCACCGGAGAAAGATGCAATGTTTCTGAGAGAAAACCGTTGCATTTTCCAGGTGCTCTCTCTCATCATTATTGCTAACTTTCAAGTGTATTTGGTCTCTAGAAAGATGCAATGTATGTAAAAAATTGAATATTAGGGAAGGACCTATTATCAAATAATTAGAAGGGGTGAAGCTTATAAACCCAGATCGTTCGGCCCACCACCTTGTGGAGCTAGCTGAAAAACCCTAGGCGTTTCTTAAGATGCAATGTATGTAAGCTACTACTACAGTAGCAGCAGCTACTATCATCATCATCATCATCTCATCATATGCAAATTAAAGGTCATCATTATTAAATGTATAATTAATTATTTTAAAAGTGTGCATCTGTTTTTCATTACATGTCACTGTTAAGATGTCGACTAGCGAGTACCATGTAATGCCAGTCCAAACTAACCTAATAGTTCACGACAAACATTTTTCTCATAGTTTGACTCCCTTGCTGATCAGCTCCATGATTCAAGCCGAAGCAACTCCCTTATCCATGGAAATGTCTATATCTTTGACATATTATCATTAATTTCCATTCATTGCATAGCTAAGCTAAAGTCCTAAATTCCTAGCTGGAACTCTGAACAGCTATACCAAAGTTTTGTCGACGAACATCATCAATTTCCGACAGAAATGATCGGTGAAGATTAATTACAGTCTCACTGTCTCCGATTGCATCACATCCTTGACAGCTGCTGGACTGTCATCTTTAACTACAGATTCCTTGAGAATTTCCTCGTCGCAGCTGCTGGACTGAAGAATGAACTGAATATTAGCTTTGCTTCTAGAAGTGATAGTAGTGGTTAGCAATCGTATTTTCTCAGAATCAGTCAGCAGCTAGAATCATTAATTGTTAGTCAATGAAGAGTATCTTTACTTTAAAAATGATGAAAAGCGTCTTGCTCTTACGTAGCTAGCTAGCCATTCTCCATTTATTTTAGTACTCAGAAAAAATAAAATTAACCAAGTGTTTGAATTGAGGATAGATTCAGTTTTTTGACTATTGGCCCGGTCCATGCTTACCCATTTGACATGTTAGTGGTGCCAGTTATGTACTGCAGCCTCTGATGCTGATCGAGTGATAGGCTCATAGCAAACATAGTTGACGAAAACACATGAATGACCATATGAGTTGTCTAGGACAAAATATTCTGACAATTGACTAATATATTACCCCAATTTGTCCAAAACAGTTTTGACATAGTACACTCGGAGAGTTTTATTTTCCTTGTGCATGAGGTGCAAGAACGAAAAGTTCCTCGTATTTCGTACTCCTACATGATAATATATACTCCCTCCGTTTTAAAATGTTTGACACCATTGACTTTTTAGTATGTGTTTGACCATTCGTCTTATTCAAAAAATTTAAGTAATTATTTATTCTTTTTATATCATTTGATTCATCATTAAATATATTTTCATATACACATATAGTTTTACATATTTCACAAATTTTTTTGAATAAGGCGAATGGTTAAATATGTGCTAAAAAGTTAATGGTGTCAAATATTTTGAAACGGATGGAGTATATCACAGCAAAACATCCTGTCATAGATCGATTCTCAAGGTCTAAACTCTAGCAAGATGCTAAAATTCTAATCAACACTTAGTCACAAATGCATGTCATTAAGGGTGTGTTCGTCTTTACCACCTCTTCCCAACTTTTACTCAATCATTTTCCATGCGCACGCTTCTCAAACTACTAAATACATTTCTTTTGCAAAAAGTTTCTATAGGAAAATTGCTTTAAAAATTAATATTAATCAACTTTTAACTTTATTTCAGCTAATATTTAATTAATTATACACTAAATTAATATTAAACAATTCGAATGATATTTATAGTTCAAACTCCGAAATTTTGATCGAGTGGTTGTTGAAAACAACTAATCTTACTGTGTTTTTCCCCATTAGCTGAGTAGCTTTTTCGGCCCCTGCAGTTTTAATTAGTATTCCTCCCAGCCATTGATTTTGAAGACAATATTGAAAACCTCAAAAAGTCTTTTAGCTAGTTCTACAATTTATGTGCTTTGTCTTGCACATGTATTGAGAAAGGCTAGACTTCCAATCAATTATTCTCTAAGGCTCCATTTGGTGTTGCATTGGATACTATTCTCTAGACATCTCGTTGGGTACAATTGTTTTGAACTTGTTATTGTTATGATGCAAAGGATAATAATATTTTGTCTAGCCTTAATTTGTCTGTGGAACAATACTACAAACAATTATTGTCTTTATTTTCCCAACAACTTAAAAATATGAGCACGAGGCAACATAACAACCACAAACTGAGTGTACCCCTTTTACTTCTCACCTAGAATATATAAAGTTCAACTTTCTAAAAATTGAAGTTAGCAAGTTAAAATAATGTGACTATCTATAAAAACAATATCGATTGGTACATTTATTTTCAAAATATTACTAGCCACATCGTCGTGCTTTGTGCGACTATTGATTATGTTTAAGAACTTATGTATATAGTTTATTAGTTCAGCTTAGCTTTTAAAAAGGTTTTGACATAAGTTAATTTATTTATAGAATATCGATTGGCCTAGTCAACTATTGTCTTTTTTAAGTTATATATGTTTATAAGAGGAATTGGAGCCTCCTGTTTTAATTCTTCATTATCTTTGGCCCCTCTCTATTTGTATCAGTGTCTAAGATGAGACACTAGAAACATACAGAAATTCTCATATGTTTAGCCATTTGTGTTTTTTTATTAATGCATGTATCTTTTGACCTAATGATCATTGGTTATCTAAACTCTTGATCCGACGGTCAATATGTTTTTGTGATGTAGCACATCCTTATGCAAGAAAGCTTGCTGCTTTTACTATACAGTAATATAAGTTCATTAATATATAACAATGTATAATTATGAAATATAGTCACCAGAATTGAATGCGTGAACGAGGAGATAACTTATCCAAAGAAAATGCTCTCTGCAAATTAAAATGTTTGTCATGTCCTTTTTTTTCGTTCACACCATGTTTAAACTATACTTTCATTTTACACTGCTGCTCTAAGCCAAAATCTGGTGTTAGAGTGCACCCCAACCCAACGTCACTCTACTCTAACCTAAAGATCACAAAATTTGACGATCACTTTATAGTTTTTTTAGAGAAGGGTATTTTTTACCCGGCCTCTACATCCAACTGGATATATGCAGCCTTTTTAATTTGTTAACTTAGACCCTCAAACAACTCAATCTAAAATTCGCTCCTATGGAGATTCGGACTCAGGACTTTACAATGCTACTCAGGTCACTGGAAGCCCTTTCGCGACAATCACTTTATAGATGCATAGTGCCATAGTATAAAGTGCAACACTCAAATAACCCATGTTATATAATTAGTGTTTTTTTACTTGGTTTGAGAATATATCTTTACTTGATTTGAGAATATATCAGAAGGCACTATATTTTCTACTAGTATATAAAAAAGGATCATATATACGGCGCATAAGAATATGCAGAGAAATTTATGGCATGAGCATTCAAAATGTCCCCTAAAAATTAACAAACAAACGGAGTAATTAATTAAAATCATTTATCTACTCAATTTACATAGAGTTTGTAATCTTACGGCAGGTTGTTGAGAAGACTTTGCACGGGGAAGAAGACGACGACGACCACTGCTGCTGCTGCTGCTGGAATTATGCCCTGTGGCCAACAAGCTGACATCCCTCTTCTCGTTGAGACCCTGCAGGATGCCAGCCACGGCATCCATGGCACTGCACCCCGACGACGACCCCAGCACTATCTTCAGATGAAGCTCTTGACACTTGTTCGGTGAACTGCCCTGATCTGCCGCTGATCTGCTCGTGTTGACCTCAATCTTGTCATCGTCAGGTCCGTCGTCTCGCTCGCCGTCGCCGTCGCCGGCGTGCAGCTGCTGTGATTCAGATAGCTTCCTGTTCTTCTCCTCCAGCTCAGCTATCCTCGCCTTGAGGACGTTCACGTAGTCCTTTGCTCTCATCAGCACTGATGCTTTGTCCTTCTGTGCTCATCGTCGCACAAGTTACAAATCAATTAGCATTAATTAATTGGTTAAAATTTATAAATGTTACTATTAATAAAGCATATATAGGATAACTGATATTAGCCATGCTAGTCATTTTTAGCTAAGCTTAAGATATTGATAAGCACCTTATGAGTAGCCAAGCTAGCGAGAATCTAGAAAAAGCTAGAAGCTAGATTTTCAGCTTCTGGTCTCCATTTTATTTTCTTAATTCTATAACTATAGTTTGTATTCTGAATGCTAATTCTGAATTCTATAGCTACATATTCTCCAGGTAACAATCTAGATTTGAGAGAGTTTGGGATTATGTGAGAATCTTTCGTCAAGCAAGACAACAGATTTTGCTCGAGATTCTATATTTACGTAAGCTTTTAGATTAAATTGGTCGGTAAGTAGACGGACCTTGGTGGCGGGTGGGAGCACGTCCCTGAGAGCCTTGAAGCTATCGTTGAGCTTCTCCCGGCGCTTGCGCTCCGACAAGACGTGCTGCAGCTGCAGCTGCTGGTTCTCGCCGCCGCCGCCGCCGGCGGTGGCCGCTGGCGAAGCCCGCGCGGCCATCTCCATGATCTGGTAGTACTGCGCGAGCCTCGCCGCGTGGATCTTTGACAGCACCGATATGGCCTTCTTGAACGCCCTCTGTCCACCGCCGCCGCCGGTGGCGGTGGTCGCCGCCCCTGGCCGCCGGAGGAGATGCTTCTTCGGGCCCAGGTACCGGGAGTACGGCCGGAACGCGGTGGCGGCGGCGGCGGCGCCATGGCCGCCGCTGCTCCGCCGTGCTGCTTGTCCCGGCCGTGGTAGTAGTATCTGCGACGACACCTCCGTTGTCTGGTGGTGGCAAGAGGCGGCGGCGGCGGCGAGCATGAGCGACGAGTTGTCGTCGCGGCTCGTCGTCGTCGTCGTCGTCCCGGCGGAGAAGGAGCGGAAGGAGGACGACGACGGCGACGGCGGCGTGGCGTACTGATGATCGTGCTCCTCCATGTCCATCAGCATGTAGATCTGAATCAAATAATTCGCAACGAACACGATGATGAAAACATGATTACTCCACAACAAAACAAAGTTCGTCAATTACTAGCAATAAACAAGATGAATTAATCATGAAAATTGCCTGGCTAAGCTGCTGCTGCATGGCCTGCGACTGCGAGTTCATCATCATCGTCATCGCCGGCTCCTGCTCGTGGTGGCGCAGCAGCTGATCAGTAGTCGCCATGTCGCTCCAGCTGCATCTGATGCAAGCACAAATTAACTAATTAATTAATTAATTACAGCCTGCAGAAGCTTAAGATATCAAGGATAGCTGCATGCGTGGCAACGACGACCAGGCCGCCGCCGGCCGGTGATCACCGTGTAATTAATACATATATACCTGATCATGGTGTCGCCGGCGCCGCCGTGCATGTCGCCGGCGGCGGCCGCCTTGAGCATCCAGCTGCCGCCGTCCATGCCTGTACGTACGTACGCACGATCGGATCGAGCTAGCTCTAGTCGCGTTCAATCGATTAATTGCTCTTTAATTTGGCTGCTTCTTGAGCTATCTCGTCTTTGATTGGGAATGGTGTGTATATATACTAGCTAGTAGGAGCTAATTAAGCTGTGAACACACTTAATCGTCACAAATTAATTAGTGTGCATGCACAACCAAACTAGTACACATAAGCGCTGATTCGCGCGTATTCTACCGCTCCCTCCGTACTCGTAAAGTAAGTCGTTTAGGACAATGTTTAAATCAAATCTTAGAAATACTCCCTCCGTTTTGAAATATTTGACACCGTTGATTTTTTAGCACATGTTTGACCGTTCGTCTTATTCAAAAAATTTTATGAAATATGTAAAATTATATATCTACATAAAAATATATTTAACAATGAATCAAATAATAGGAAAAGAATTAATAATTACTTAAATTTTTTGAATAAGACGAACGGTCAAACATGTGTTAAAAAGTCAACGGCGTCAAACATTTCGAAACGAAGGGAGTATAAATCATGAATAACTCTCAAGTTATTGGGTTTGAAAATGTAAAAATTATATGAATAGATTTGTCTTGAAAAATACTTTCATAAAAGTATACATATATCACTTTTCGATAAATATTTTTATAGAAACAAGAAGTCAAAGTTGTGTTTTGGAGACAGTGTCACTGTCCAAAACGACTTCCTTTACAAGTACGGAGGGAGTACTAAATATTCCTATCGATTTTTAATATACAACGTCGTTAACTTCTAAATATACGTTTAAATACTCATATTATTTAATTGTTTTTACAAACATAACAAAATAAGTCATGCTATAAACATTTTCTATAAATTAATTAAAAAAATAAATAATAGTTATATAATATCTTAAATAAAATAAATGATTAATGTATATAAAAAGTCAAGAGATTTTTTATTAAAACCTGATAGTATATATAAGTAAGGAAAGTATTCTAAACTCTCTAGGAGACATCCCTTATTGTTTATATGTCATTTAAATAGTTATGACAAAATTTGAAAAAAATAAAAAATATAGATTAATATCTTATAAATCACTCCACAAACATATAAGGTTAAATTTAATTTTTACAAATTATAACGAGATAAAAAAATTTAACTATAAGTATACATTGTATACTTATTAGTTATAGTTTTTTTTTAACTTGTACAAGTTAAAATCTAACTTACATATTTGTAGAGTGATCTATTACATATTAATCTACATTGTTGAATTTTAAAAATTTTCTTCAGATGACATGAAAATAAATACTCGGAGTAACAAACGTATGTATCCCGAGAATTTAGAATCCACGAGTAGATCGAAATGTATAGTAAGGGTGTGTTTGAGGAGAAGGGGATTGGAGAGATTGGAAAGATACGTAAAACGAGGTGGGCCATTAGTATATGATTAATTGAGTATTAACTATTTTAAATTGCAAAAATGGATTAATATGATTTTTTAGAGCAACTTTCCTATAGAAATTTTTTGCAAAAAACGCACCGTTTAGTAGTTTGGGAAGCGTGCGCGCGGAAAACGAGGAGCTTTCTCACCCAATGTCACTGGAACGAACACAGCCTAAGTCGTACGTGGTGCAGGCTATAACTGGAATTAACTAGTACTAGGACTAGTAGTTTAGTATTTTTTAACTGAACTAGTAGTACGTATTAATTACTCAACTAATTAATGAACGTACGAACGATGGGGGATTAATCAATTTATCGTAAGCCGCCGGCGGCGTAGCGTACGTACATGCATTCGATCGGGAACGTTTCGCAATTTCGCGGACATCGTCTATATATCATACTATCTAGGATTTTATTTTAATTTCGGGATGAAACTTTGGATCCCTTCAAATTCAGTTCAAACCCGTTCAGACTTAAGGACTTGTTCGAAACTCAAGTCAAATCATCGCCGTCCAATGGTATATACGAATTATAAAAAAATCTCATATAAGACGGACAATCAAAGTTGGACACGGAAACTCAGGGTTTGTCTCTTTTTTTTACGGAGGGAGTACTAGTACTTTTTTTTTTTTACGGAGGGAGTACTAGTACTAAGATTTGTAAATCCTAATACTGGACGAAGCTGGCTTTGTCGTTATTGTGCGCATATATCTGAATTAAAAGGTAAGACTACTCGGAATCAGCCACCATTTTGTTGGATAGAAGAGGCTGTAGGTAGATAGAGGCCACAGCCACAGAGGCTGGAACAAGATGATGACAAGTCACTCGAAAAATCTCTGCTCCATGCATACTAGTAACATACCAGCACAGTTAATCGTCAGTCGTGCCATCGTTTATGAGCAAACTAGTTATTCCCTCCGTCCTAAAAGAGTGTCATTTTAGCTATAAACTAAGACATATAGCACCGTAGAAAATATAATAGAGGCTTGGTCTGATGAAAGAATAAGAAGAGTGCACAAGAGAAGGAAGACTGACTTAATTAAGTAATATTAGCTTCCAATCCTATGGATCAAGACTCAAAATAGGTGCTTTGCATCAAACCAGCCCGCTGGACTCAACCTTAGCTGTAAATCCATTTTCTTTATAAGCATAAATTGCAAGTCCTCGCTAGCAAGCCAAGGTAGCAATATGAGGTTGACACTTATCGATAGAGGATGCGTCTATACCCACATGAATTAGAATAAGCACATTACTCTCCCTTGGAAATGTAACCAACATTGGCATGTTTCTATGACCCAAAACATTAGGACGACCTTGTTTGAATCATTACCAATCTAACCTTATTAAAATATTGGTAATGACAAGATTTGGTAAAGCAAAATTTAATTTTGGTAAAGGATGGTTGTTTGGATTGTTGCTAATTTTTGGTATCTGTATGAGCTTGCCAAAATTTTTGGCACCAAATCAGATAGATGCTTACCACATTATGGTCACCAATAATTTTTTGGCATGGCAAGATTGGGGATAAAATCAAACAGGTTGTATATATCTTCCCCACCCGCCCTATGAAAAATCCACCAACTGCATACAACCCTCAATTTGTTATCTCCCATTGACTTCTGCAACTCGTTGCATGCTATAGTTGTTTGTCCAGCACATATGCCACCACCCTTCCACTTCACTAGTGGTGTCTTGACGCTTACGATGCATACCAAAACTACCGATGCCTTCCTCTACCCCATAAATACATTCATCTCTAAGGCTCCGTTCTGTTCTTCAACTCTAAACATTAACTTCCTCGTTTTCCATCGTCAGCATGCTTTTCAAACTGTTAAATTATACGTTTTTTTTTAAAAAACATCTATATATATGTTGTTTAAAAAAAATAAATTTATTTTTCAAATTTATAATAATTAATATTTTATTAATCATGTGCTAATGAGGTTTCTCATTTCGCGTGCAGTACGAATCTCATCCAGGAGGAATCTAACGAAGCCTAAATCATCTAGCATGTTTTTGCTTCAATCCAATGAGTTCCCGCCACCCCACCCTTCAAGCCTATTTCTTTCCACTGCTAGGCCATTACCCTGCCTTTCTCTATACCTGAAGAAACTCCCCTCTTCTACCTTCCTAACCCTTCCCAACCAGCCTCCCCATCCCTAGCCTCGCAAATTACACTACCAGAGATTGTGAAGCCACCGCGTGCCTCTCTACGTTACCGAGAGGTTTTGCATACTCTCGGTAAGATTTAGAACATACCGTGTGTTTCCACATAGAAACTCGGGAACATCGAAAAATTACCGTGTTCCAAGCCGATACTCTCGGTATCCGTGGGACCCACTGTTTCACCGTGACGGGGCATATTATTTGGCTTCGTAGGTGATGATTTCCGTCAACGTGAAGGATGGGAAGCGCTATTTTCGTTGGCGCGGAAGGATGGCGGGGCTGCGATTTTCATTGGCGCCAAAGGAACAGTAGATTCCCGAGAATATTCAGTGCATTTGCCTTCGGTAACAGCCAGGCCCACCTGTGACCCAATTAGCGATCACATCAAAAATTAAGGTAGAAATAGAAAAGAAGTGATATGATGCCGGACCGTACTTTTGGTATTATATATATATTTAACATGAATAAGGCATAAAAGTGACAGGTTAAGAGATTGAATGGACAAATCAGATGAGGTTTATTGTACTTTATTTTTGGAAAAAATACGAATTACCCCCTAACTATTGTGGTCGATCGAATTACCCTCATAACTCGAATACCAGATATATTTCACACCCTAAACTTTTTAAAACCGGATGAATTACCCCCTGACAATATCTAGAGTGGTTTCCGTCCTACGTGGTATACACGTGGTAGTCTAATCAATATTTTTTTTAAAAAAATGGTGGGACCCACCTACTTCTCTTCCCCTCACCCCTCTATCTCTTCCATTATTCGTCGTTCTCTCTATCTCTCTCTCTCTCTCATCTCTCTCGCGTTGTGTGCGGCGAGGATGGTGGTAGACGGCGGTGAACGGCGGTGTCACGGGGAGGGCACCACGGCCGGTGGGCCGCGCCGAGGAGGATAGTAGGGGCAACGGTGGCGACGACTAGCTGGAGGAGGCGGGGTTCGAGATGAGGGCGGCGGCGGGCCAGCGACGAAGCTAGGAATGGGTTTGAGATGAGGGTGGCTGCCACCCGCGCCGCTCCCCTACGCTCGCGCCTGATGACAGAGAGAGAGGGGAAGAGGAGAGAGAGGGGGTGAGAGAGTATGACAGGTTGAACCCACCAAATTTTTTTAAAAGAAAATGTTGACTGGGTTGCCACGCGTACGCCACATAGGATAAAATCGCTCTGGATTGGGTCGAGGTGGGTAATTCGTCCGGTATAGAAAGTTTAGGATGAGAGATATCTGATTTCCGGGTTTAGGGGGTAATTCATTCGACCATGATAGTTCGGGTGAGGGTAATTCGTACTTTTTCCTTTATTTTTCTCAAGATTTAAAAACATAGGGGCAATTGCGCCTATGACTCCATTTTAAAGGCTAACAACCAATTTAATTATTTTTTATCTTGTTTAGTGGTTGGCCCTCTTTTATCAATTTTACTCATTTGACCATTCTTTTTAAAACTGAATATATGGCCTGACCTTATTCTATTAAGGCAAAATTTGCTACAGGTTGAACCCACCACCGCTTGCTTCGTTTGTACGCCTAATGAGAGTGAATGGGAGTATGAGACAATCATATTGCAGTGGAGAAGAGATTGGAGAGGAGGGAGGTTGACCGATGAAGAGCGTAAGGTGTACAATATCTGGTTTGTTAGTTTAGGAGGGTATAATCCGAACAGTATCAATAATTCACTGGGGTAATTCAGACTTTTTCTTTTTAGAAACAACACAGACACAAGTGGTCATATACTCACCCCTTTAAACGTATGCACAACACATCCTACCCCTAAGACCGGATACCTCATACAACAAGCGTCTTTGCATGAAATGCCTACCACTGAAACAAAAATAGTTGTTAAGGCGAGTACGCATGCCACGTATTGAACTTCAATCGGGATGAGTATGTTTCACTACAAGAAATAGCATTTGTAATTTTAGAACAAAATTTATTTAATTTCTTTGTATTATTATCATTTGCATTTTCTTTAATCAGCCGAACCCTATATCCTTAAAATACCATTATCAGGTCCCTAAAGCTGGTTGATTTGTTTTTATTTTTTTTCCAAAGTATTGTTGAAACAGACAGATTTATCGATGAAAATCACCAGGCTGACGTAAATTCCAAATGGATTTTTTTTATAACAGGATGAGTTAAATTGGGGTTAGTAGATCACATAGGGCTAATTTCCATATATCTTTATCGTTTGTTTTTGTAAGAAAAACTCATGATAACGTATCGTGCCCCACAAACCAGAAATCGTGCCGAAAATGTGGCGGGCACCAAAAATCTGGCGGGCTCTTATCCAAACCTCTTGGGTGGCTAGGTCACAAAACAATCCCCAATCCTGGCGTCCACCACTCATCCCCATCGACGCGCTTCCTAGTCCCCCCGCCCCCGCGCGCCGCCGCGCCGCAAACCATCGAGCCCCCCGCCGCCGCGCTGCGCGCTAACCAGGCCCCCACCGCCGTGCCGCCCAATGCCCCATCCAGCCCCACGTAGCCGCACCACGCCCCCATCCAAGCCGAGGCCGCCGCGGGCACATCCCCATCGAGGAGCACCTGCCTTCGTCCCCACCTTTGATGGCCGTCTCCATCCTCTGCTCCAGGTGGAACGCTATACACGAAGTCGTAGCTCCGTTTGTGACCCCCGCCTACTCCTCCTAGGACGCCACTGTGGCTGAGGCAAGCGACTCCGCTCGGCCATATCTACATCAGTGTGCTTCGTAAACGAGAGGTCAGTAAAGCAACTCCATGTTTCCATCTGTGGCTCTACAACTTTCCACAAAGAACCATGGTATGTTCATAGTTGATATGCATTAGAATTAGAGATTTTAGTATCAGGGTAAATTAGTTCTCTTTGGTCAGAAGTTTCTTGGTTGGGGGGAGAACATATTTTGAATTTGTTGAACCTCTTGCAGTCCCGTTTGTGCTTGATGGTACAGATTATTGTGAAGATTTATTTGCCAGGAGTCATCTAGATATTCTAATGCCACTGTGCAGTCTTTGTACAAAGCAAACGAATATAGTGTTGCAAACTCTATTGAATCGACATGTTGTCCATCCTTCCAAAAGAGTGTTGTGTGCTGCCATTTCCAGATTTGACTTGTATCTCTGAAATTAATATCTGGAGACTGTATAATATGCTAATGGAAAGGGGACCAGGTTACAGAAAGATGGAGGATGGAGCGGCTAAATTCTTTACATTCTGGTTAGAAATTATATTCTTCTTGCATTAAATTATATTCTTCTTGCTGAATTGAAATTCAGTTACTTTCTTGCACTGAACAGTTATGCACACATTTCTACTTGGTTAATTATAGGTGCTATTTGACTAGGCCGCTGTGATAGAAACCAGTAATTGCCACATGGCTTGAGATCATCTTGTAAGGGGGTGGCACATGCAGATGGTGCAACATTGCTGTATGCAGGATCTCTGGATTTTTGTTTTTTCCCTTTAGTTCTTGTTTTTATGCTCTTGCTTCAATCTGTGCTATCAAATTGCTTTGTAAAGAATACATTTCTGCACTAAGATTCACAAGCAGTTGGTTCCATGACAGTATCCTATCTCCTGTATCTGTTTTAGATAACCAATTTTGCCTCTTCTAAACTGTAATCAGGGGTAGACCATAAATTAAAGATCGAGTTAAGACTGAAGATTGCTAACACCCTAATCAGAATGGAGGAGTTGTTCTGTTAATTAATTGCTGCTTGCATCTTCTTCTATTGGTTGTGTTTTGCACATATTGTGTGGATTGAAACTCTAATTCAGTTTGCTACGGCGAATAAGATTTCAAATTTTCCTTATGGGAGAGAGGATAAGATTCAGTTTTTTTTCCAAAAATATATTAATTTCCTGCCAATGCAACACAAGATGACAATCATTTCTTCAAGTGCATAATATTTTAATGTTCTTTTTGCAGAAAATCATTGTTTAAACTATTTGGATATCATGCCTGAATTAGAGAGGCTACAGAACATCATGGAAGCAATACATGGACCTGATAGCACCAAGCACTCCGCATGGTCAGGATCAGGGTGAGATGTAGGGCTAGCGACAGAGCTTGGATGCAAATGATTGCTCTATCCCAACAATTGGTTGGATCTCTGTCTTGATTGAAGGTAATTTTCTGTCATGGTTATTTTATATCAATGTGTTGTAAGTTTGTTTGGTACGAAAGAAAAACAAAATGAAGATTAAGAGATCCATTATAGTGTTGACTAAGTTAATAATCAGTGTTGAACAAATGTATCATACTAGGAGTCTATTTGCCTGTGTTGTTGTTAGGCCTTCACAAGAATCAGTAGCAGAGATGTTCTGCTTCATTCTTTTATCTGTGCAGTGGTGTGTACACACACACATTAAGAGATGCGCTTGCAAGTTGTTTCATGCCACCTCTTTGTCATATGGAATTTCATACTTGTCTCGCGTTACTTTCATTGACATGTTTAGTCAAAAAAAAACTTTCATTGACTTGTTGCTTCATAATGTGGTATGGGAAACTAACTATAATATTATTTGGCACTCAGATAACTTTTATGTCTGATTTCAGGCATATAATGATCATGCCAAAGGACTGGGATTGATTTATGTTGTCAATGCACACATTTGGTTAGTCAGCCACTAAGATGTGTCTATTACCTTTCCAGCAGAGGTTGTAAGAACTAAGGCTCATTCTGCTTCTCTTGAGTTATGTGTAGCTAGCGACTTTGTAGATCCATTCATGTTGTGTTCTTGCCTCGTGATGTTCTCATTAATACCGGGGAATCTTCAACTTATGTTCACATGATATTTTTCTATGGTTCTAATTTATTTCTGTGATGCTTGCCTATGTTCTGCCTGTTATGTTTGCGTGAAATCTGCCTGACTGTTGCTTGTCTCATATCCGTGTTGTACTATCATGAATATAAGAAATCTGTAAATCCAGGTGTACAATATTATCTAGTGTTCATTCTCAGCAAGTTACTGTGATGAGCTACACACACGGGAAAAATTTTAACATCCCCGTGTGTCCAGTACTATAATCCTCTCGGTAAGCTCTGTCCTGTTACCGTGTTTTGCGTACCACACACGGTAATGATTGTTTTTTTCCAGTGTTTTTGTACCTCTCGGTAACACTCCGTTCCGTTGCTTCTGTCCCGTCTTGTGCCGTTAAACAGATTGTTGCCGAGTGGCTGTGTTCACTCGGTAATTTTGAACATCATCCCGACTGTAGAAGCATTGTCGCACGGGAAGAATCTCACAGTAAAGGTGTGAAGCCACCGAGAGCGCGTTCCCGTGAGCTTGCTCTCGGCAACTTGTGTTACCGAGTGTTTTCAAGATGTTGCCGAGTGTTTTTGGCACACGGTAGCTTCGCAGTCTCTAGTAGTAATTTACCTTGAATCCTAACTGATTGCTCATGGTCCTACCACCACCAGAGTTGGAGATGAATCGAGCTCTCTAGTCGCCGGAAGTGGAGAAGAATGGCTTGGAGAGTAGATTTTGTTGCCAATTGACAGGTAAGGCCGTAAGGGCAATTCACTTGTTGCAACCACCAAAAATCATATGAATCCAATTTCTACTAGCGCAGCTGGCAGGGTGTGTCATCTCAATTGGTAGCATGAAAGGCTGAAGAGATTCACGATGGTAAGTTGGGACATCATGTAGCCATTTAATCTTGGATTGGTCAAAGTGCCTTATTACTTTTTAAGAAAAAGAAGTCTAAATGTATTTACCAATCAGCGGCCAGAGTAAATTTCTACTTACATACTACCTATAGGTACCGTAAAAGGGCCTGATTAAATAAGTCCCTACTTTAGCTGTAACATGTAAAATTTGGATAATTTTCTTGATCCAATGGGTTGATATATAGGAGTACTTGACTGGTTGACTTCAACTCTAGAAAACATATTCTAGTATAAAATTGATAACCAAAGTTTCAAAAAGATTAACCCTACACACCAAACATTTATAATCGGATAGAGTAGTTCTTGATTGTCTAAATGTAGAGGCTGAGATTATCCCAAAGCATCCTAGAAGGGTCTGTTCAAATAACTTTAATTTCTCCGGAATTTTAAAAACTTTCAAGATTTGTGTGGGACTTTTGGGTTGCAAACATTGGCCCAAGCCTGGCCCAAATACGCTCAATACACTATCAAGCTAGACAGGGATGGGCTTTTGCGGGCCAGGCAAAGTTTAGGCCCTCTTTGTTTAGGCTTAGACTTATTGGCCTAGATTTTTAAGTCAGTTTATTAGCGTATATGATTTATACGCTGGTGGATTTAATGTCCTAAGTTTAGTGATTTAGCCATACATCTACCTCACATAAGCCAAAAAAAGCTTCTCCAACCTAGCTTTTGGCTTAATAGTGTTAGAGTGGCTTATGGCTTAAAAAAGACAAACGGAAAAGCTGCCTGTTTGTTTAGGCTTAAACTTTTTGACTTATAAGTTGGCTTATAAGCCTAAACAAAGAGGGCTTAGGCCCTCTTTTAAGCTTAGGCTTAGGCTTAGGCTTATTGGCCTAGACTTTTAAGTCAGTTTATTGGTTTATATGATTTATAAGCCGGTGGATTTAATGTCCTAAGTTTAGTAGTTGAGTCATACATCTATCTCATATAAGTCAAAAAAGCTTCTCCAACCTAGCTTTTGGCTTAATAGTGTTAGAGTGGCTTATGGCATAAAAAAAGCCAAACGGAAAAGCTGCTTGTTTGTTTAGGCTTAGACTTTTCGACTTATAAGTTGGCTTATAAGCCTAAACAAAGAGTGCCTTAGACAGGTCCGCTAGAAAGGATGAGGGACTTTAAGTGCACTAATTCCTCAGCAATTTAATGCAGTAGTAAGCAGTGTTCTCCCGACGAAAACCGATCAAATTCAGTGAAATTTTGACATTTCGATTGGAAATTTGAAGCTTAAACAATAGATTTGGTCGAAATTCAGTTAAAATTTATCAAAAGCCGATCAAAATTTATCAAAAACTGTGATACCGATAGGGCTCGAAATTTAGTGGTCAATCGGAAATGTAAACTCTGGTAGCAACACGCCAACACCACGGAAAGACTGAAATGAACTCTGGTAGCAACACGCCAACACCACGGAAAGACTGAAATGAATACAGTGATCAGTACAAGCCCAACCCAGCAGCTGTCTGAAGCTTAACCAAAGCTTAAACCCAAAGCAAACCAGAGGCAGATCAGATCAGAGCTAGTAGCAGCAAGCTCGCGATCTCCCCCACCTTCTAGAACCTTCTAGAACCGCCGAATGCCGCTCCACCACCACCGCCACCACCACCACTCCGCCGCCGTCGCCGTCGCCGTAGCCGACGACGACGACGAGGCCAAGCCGCGCCGCCCCTACTCCACCTTCGCCTCCCCGCGCGCGCCCACCTCCGCCTTCTCCGCCGCCTTCTCAACCCACCGCCTCCTCGTCCTCTTCTCCGTCGCCTGCCTCCTCGTCGCCGCGGCCTCCCTCGCCTTCGCCTTCTCCGCCCGCGCCGCGACCCTGCAGCCGCCGCCCCTCGCCGCCGTGGCCGAAGCCACCGCCAAGGTCGCCTTCCGCTGCGGCCGCGCCGAGGACACCCTCCGCGCCTTCCTCGCCTCCTCCTCGGGGAACTACTCCTCCGCGGCGGAGGGGAGGGAGAGGGAGAAGGTGCTCGCCGTCGTCGGGGTGCACACGGAGATCGGATCCGCCGCCCGCCGCGCCGCGCTCCGGGCCACCTGGTTCCCGCCCAAGCCCGAAGGCATCGTAAGGTTTCCCCCCACATTGCTTTCCTCCATTCCCACCTACCAACTTGGATCTAGCTACTCGCTTTGCTCTGGATTGCTGCTGCTCATCTTACGCTTACAGTACTAAGCTTCTAGCCTTGTGTCTAGCTTATGCTGCGATGGGATCTGTAGAGCCTTTGGTTGCTGTCACATCTTACATGCTTTTTTTACTCTTCAACAAATTTTTGATCAATGTGGCGTATTGAGCAGGTCCAATCGCTAAAGGGCAATGTGTGATCTTGATATTTTTCATATTTTGATCACTACGGAAGGCGATCCTACTATTATATAAACTTTCAGATGGGTTCTGCGATAATGTGTTTTCATGAAAAGAGCTAGTAAATTATGATAAACAAAATTAAGGATGCTGTTTCAGCCGTCCCAAGTGTCCAATACGTTTGGTTGCTAACCAGAATTTACCACAATTTTGCACAGGGATGTGCCAATGCAAACTCCTTTCTATTCAAGTCACATTATATCGATTATTTCTAGCTTTTCGATGATTGATCTTAAGTGTAAATTGCAAAAAGTCACAACCAAGCCTCATGTACATGAACCAAATCTTGTGTTGAGTGTTTCATTGAACAAATTTCCCGCTGCAACATTCAGGGTCTCCATCTAGTAATAAGGGTACACTAGCACTTTTTCCCTCTTTGTGGAGATCTTTTAAGAGTTGCAGGACATATGAATTGTACCATAACTCCCCAATTCAATTTACATTGTAGTGGCATGAGTGTTCTCAATGTCGGTAGATGGGTCTTAATTGGTCACCCACTTTCTAGTAAGTATACAGTAAACTTAAATCAACCATGTATACAGCTCGACTATTGTAGAGTGGAACACCATTAGCTCTGGAGATTTGGGGAAATTAGTTCTTAATCCCTGGCATCTAATCTCAGGGTGATGATGCCACAGCCGAAGCATTGTGAGGCCAGTTCTTCTTCATGCATATTTCTATTGTCCGCTCAATAGTCAATTCTACTGCATTCTTCATTTCCCCAAAGTCAAGATCAGCCATCTTGATTGGCATTTGGTTAGGACGAAAGCAGTGTATATCTGATATACTTCCATAAGCGAAATCAAGCTATATAATATTAATTACTTATTACAATTTTACCGTTAATCACTAAGAATCACCTTAGCTTCTGGATTCACAAACTTTTTATGAAGAGGTGTACTGACTACTGAAGCACATTACCAGAGAGAAATGAATGTGCTGATTTGAAAATTACTGTTTGTCAAGAAGAATTGATTGTCGTAAAGTTTACTTTGTATTCTGTTTGGAACTTATAAAATACATCTCTTTGTGTAACTTAGCTGTCTTAAAAAATCATTACATTCAGTTAAGTCCATTCACTAATTCAATGTTTGAATCAGGAACACATGTGGGCTAGTATGAACAGTTCATCAGTAAAGAATATACAATCTTTTATAGGCTAACTCTGGCACTTCTCTCTATATTGCAGTTTGGAACATGGAACTGGTTTATCTTTTAGGTTTGTTGTTGGACGAACCAAAGATAAAGAAAAAATGGCAGATCTTCAGAAAGAGGTAGACATGTATCATGATTTCTTGTTTGTTGATGCTGAAGAAGATACAAAGCCCCCACAGAAAATGTAAACTCTCTCTCCTCTTATGTTTGTACCTTTTTACATATACACGTGATTAATCTTAAGCCTCCCCTCTTGTTGCCCATGTGACAGGTTAGCGTTTTTCAAAGCAGCTTATGACATGTTCGACGCAGATTTCTATGTCAAAGCTGATGATGCTATCTATCTGCGCCCAGGTAAAGTTTGTGACCTGATGTACAAAAACTGTTGTTTAGATGGTTAGGTCTGTTATATGACTCGATCATGCTCTTAAGCCAGATAGACTCGCTGCTCTTCTTGCAAAGGACAGGCTTCATCAGCGGACATACATTGGTTGCATGAAAAAGGGTCCAGTTGTCAATGACCCAAATATGAAGTGGTTAGTTCAAAATTTTGATACATACATTGGTTTTAAGTTTATTTACATATTCCCTCGGTTCCCAAATATAAGCATTTCTAGGATTCAAATTTTGTACACAATATAAACATTTCTAGGACACTGATTCCAATGCACGGTAATCGAAGCGTTTTCAGCCAATCAGGTGCTTAGGAGGTCAATCTAAACAATTCAAATTCGAAATTTGACCACTGAGGTGGCTGAAAGGGTATTTTTCCCCTTATCCTTAATCGCTGCTAAAAAATCTAGAAATGCTTATATTTAGGAACGAAGGGAGTACTTCTGTTTTCTGTACATACCTCTAATTTTTTTAATGGTGATTAGATTCGCTTGTACAATGCACACCAACCTCTGGCGTATATTGGTATCTCAGACAAATTGATTTTCGGTTGCCCTGTTCAATGATCATGCTATTGTTTCATGACACAAGTGATTTATTTCAGGTATGAAAGTTCGTGGGAATTATTAGGCAATGAGTACTTCAGTCATGCATCTGGTTTACTATATGCTCTTTCTTCGGAGGTGGTTGGATCTCTAGCTGCTACAAATAATGATAGGTTGGCCAGTCATCTTTTCCTATCCATGCCATAGAGTGAAAACACAGGAACAATTTAGTTGACCATTCTTGTCTCTTAAAACATAATAAAGCAAAATTGCAACAGTTCTGCGAATCCAAAACATCGTGTAGTTTCTCCTTATCCTGTATATTTCCATTTACAAGAATACAAGAATCAAGCCACGCTTGAAATTCTATATTTGATTCATATTATAGACTAGTCTACCAACAAAAAAAAAAAATCCATCCTTGTTTTTCTGTTTGTTTTGTGTATTTTTCATGTAATCATTATTTGTTTCTTCATGCAACTCTCAGTTTAAGGATGTTTGATTACGAAGATGTTACTATTGGATCATGGATGCTTGCCATGAATGTAAAGCATGAAGACAACCGTGCAATGTGCGATTCGGCATGCACTCCCACCTCCATTGCTGTATGGGACAGCAAGAAATGTTCAAGTATGTCTTGGTAAATTGTGTTTCGTGATCGTAGTGATAAAATAGTCAGAATGGGAAAATTCATCATCGCTGATTTAATTATTTATGAAATAGTACTATTTCTTCCTTTTCCTATTTCTAATATTGTGATTCCTGATGAAAGCAAAACTAACTTTACATCTGATATATCTCTGTGTAGATGCACTAGCTATTATTACTGCATACTCCATCCAGTCATACATATTTGACGTCTAGGACAAGATTCGGTCAAACTTTTGGTACTTTGATATTAATAATCTGATAATTTCTTTAATTCTTAATCTACAAATAAAAAGAAACAATATGTATAGATTTGCCTTGAAATGTACTATGTACTATTAAATTATTAGATTTTGTAAACTTATGTTAATACAAAATTGATGGCGAAAGTTTTTATTATTAGATTTTGTAAACTTATGTTAATATAAAATTGATGGCGAAAGTTTTAAAAGTTTGACCGAAACTTCGTAAACATCAAATAGTCATGACTGGAGGGAGTAATATTTTTGGTGTCTGAAGACTTAATTTGAATATATTTTTTAGTAATTAGCTGATATTGCAAAATAAGTTTGATTAACCATAACCTCATGCCTTTGACTTCTTTTGATGCATAAATGTTTTACATTAGCCTTGTTGACTTCCAGATTCATGTAACACAACTGAGATAGTAAAGGCGCTTCACAACACTACCTTGTGCTCAAAGAGCCCTACATTGCCACCTGAGGTGGAGGATGAGTAGAACCTTAGTGTTATTTTTTTTCCCGTCAACAGATGCCAGGTATTGCCTGTCGTAACATCTGATTTCTAGTTAAATGTATTTCCATACCGTTGTATTCATTGGTGAACTCATCTGAGAGCCATACTGTTGCAGCTTCTTGTTGCTGAGAGTTCTCCGAGAAGTGTACCATCGCGAGAATGATGTAGGATTTGTGTGCACACTCCCGATATTGGGATAAGCGAACAAGACAATATGTAGGTTCAGGCAAAATGTATACTCCCGACTGATAGAAGTGGGAACATTTGTTGTCTTATGTGCCATAGCCGATTCTGGCCATCGATTCTTTCACTGGCTATGTTGTTCATTGATGTGTATATAACCATATATATACCCCAGTCTGCATTGTTGATCATGAACTTCATTTCATGATCATGGATAACTCCAGCTTATTTGGATTGATGTGTTCTCATAGAACCAGAACCCAGCTTATGTCCGGTCGGAGTAATAATGACCAATTCATGTTGCTGATTACACTCCTGAGATATGATTATCTGAAGTAAGGACCAATTTATGTTGCTGATTACACTCCTGAGATCTGATTACCTGAACGCGTTGCGTTTCCTTGCGTGTATGTGTTGTTGTTCCCTTTGCAATGCTGCGTTGCAGGTGTTGCTTCTTGTAAGAAACTGAGAAAAGCTGTGGGCTTTTCACACCGTTAATGCTACACTGTGAATACCATGATGCCGATGCCCCACTTTTGCCATTGCTTGTGCCTGAGCCTACTCCCTCTGTCAAAAAAAAGAATCAACCTAGGAGGGGATGTGACCCCTTCTAGATTGATGTATGTGGACACCCTTATCTTAGGAGGGGTCACATTCCTTCCTAGGTTGATTTTTTTTTTTGGACGGAGGGAGTATTCTCCAACCACAAGCTCGCTGCTATTCATCTGAGGTGACCTGAGATCAGCAAAATATAGGATCCATCTGAGGTGACCTGAGATTTGACCTGAGATCAGCAAAACATAGGACGTGTTCAGATTATTATGTATTTACTAAATTTGACAACAAACTAAACAAACATAGATACTTTTTTTTTAACTTTACTTAAGAAATGGTGAACAGGCCCATAGAGTTACCACCGATGCGTTTGCACCAGCAAACAATACTAGCACTATCAAATTATAATGGCACCAACAATGGAGCGAGCACACTAAGATATTTATTTGTTACTATTAAGATACAGATTTTAACTCTGTTTTTCGTTAGCACATTTACCAAACTGTTAGATGGTATATGTTGGCGGATGGCATGAGGCCCTTCGACCAAACCTGCCGAAACCCATGGCGAAGGCTATGGAGCAAGAACGGCGCAAGGCGAAGAGTCGTACAAGCGCCAGGCCAGAAGCGTCTCAGGCGAAGGGTGCAAGGCGAAGACTATCTGCCGAAGGAGGACGACTTCGCCTTGACAAGTTCGCCCCCGCGAGGGCCGAGGAAGCCTTTCCGGCCCATCAAGCCTAGGGGCAATAGGGCCGGCGATCGCCAGACGGCCCATCAGGGGCCTGTGAGCCCCTATATCATCATGTACCCCTGTAAATGTCCCTTTCGTAAGGGTAATCATGTAAATTCCCCTCTATAGCCTAAACCCTAGTAGTAAGAGCCTGTAATAGGGCTATAAATAGCCCCCTAGGGCCATGTAACGGGGGAATCCCGAGTGAAATTCAAAATTTAATACACTTCGTTTTTCCAACCACTGTTGAGTAACCACGTCTTTCGACGTATGCGGTTGTCGTTTCGATAACAGCTGGCGCCAACCGTGGGGACCTCCGAGCGAAACCACTGAGAGCGAATGCCACCGAAGAGGGTCGTGAAGGAGAAGGTTGCCAGGCGGAAGGAAAGCGACGCCGGGCCGGACATGGCCGCCGAGGAGGGAGAAGAGCCTTCGGCGCCAATGGCTGAAGATGGAGGAGGACCATCTGCTTCCACGACTGCGCCATCACAACTGCCTTCGGCCCCTGCCGCCTCTGTGCAAGTGCACGGCCGACATGGCGAAGGCGGCTGCGGCGGCGAGGGCACTCCAGACCAGGGCGGAGATCCTTTCAACAAGCCAACTGGTAGTGCCCCAAGCCGCTCCATTGCAGCCAACAGCGACCCCAACCGCGCTCGCCGCCGTGCAGGCCCAAGTCAGCCCTGACCCCGAAGCACAAGCCGAAGCCGACATGGAAGCCATGCGACAGAACATGACACGGCTCCAAGACATGCTTCGCCAAATGCAAGAACAACAACAAGCATACGAGGCGGCGAGGTGGACCAAGGTTACGTCGGCTCCAATCCTTCAGTATTCGGCAGGGTATGTCCCACCTCAAGTCCATCCGCAAGTGACGACTCAGCCCTTTCCGCCACAAGTCGCACAAGCGCCGATGTACTTCGCCAAGCAGCAATTGGCCGTAGCAGCGCATCCAGCCCCTCACGTACAACAGCCAGTCGCTGCTCAAGTACACCATCAACCACTTGGCCAAGCGCCACAAACAGTGGCGGAAGGGGTTTCGGCTCTGCAGGCGCAACTCCAAGCTTTCCTTCAGCAACTCAACCAACCCCACTGCATTTCAAGTACAAACCCATCGGCCCATCCGGAGGGGAATACAAGTCAAGGGGCGCCTAATTGGTTGCCACCGATTCAGCCGAGCCTGGGAGTTTCGCCATGGAATCAAGGACCGCAGTTCAACTTCGTCAATGCTGCTCAAGCGCTAACCGTTCGGCGGCAAGCTCCAACTCCAGGCTTTGGAACAAACCAAGTATCAATCCAAGCGGCCATGACGTGGTCGCAGCCAATTTTCGACCCATCCATGGCGGCTCAGCAAGTATCTCCAGTTGGAGCCGGGCAGTCGAATGCCACGGCCCAACCCCACGCACAAGCTGCGATTTCGCCCTTCGCCACACCGTACCCGCAGCAAGGGGCGGTAAACAGGACGGGAGGCGAAAAGGGGCTACTGCTAAGTGGGGGAATCAAGACTCGTCCAATCCCACCACAGTTCAAGTTCCCACCCGTCCCGCGCTATTCAGGCGAAACTGACCCGAAGGAGTTCCTCTCCATCTACGAGTCAGCGATCGAAGCGGCTCATGGTGACGAGAATACCAAAGCGAAGGTAATACATCTCGCTCTAGACGGCATCGCCCGTTCTTGGTATTTCAATTTACCAGCCAATAGCATTTACTCATGGGAGCAATTGCGCGATGTTTTTGTCCTTAACTTTCGAGGCACCTACGAAGAGCCGAAGACGCAACAACACCTACTCGGCATTCGCCAAAGGCAGGGGGAGTCGATAAGGGAATACATGCGTCGCTTCTCGCAAGCCTGGTGCCAAGTTCAAGACATAACCGAGGCGTCGGTTATAAACGCCGCTTCGGCCGGTCTGCTCGAGGGTGAACTCACAAGAAAAATCACCAACAAGGAGCCTCAGACGCTCGAGCACCTACTTCGCATCATCGACGGGTTCGCAAGGGGCGAGGAGAATTCCAAGCGACGGCAAGCTATACAAGCTGAGTACGACAAAGCCTCCATCGCCGCTGCTCAAGCTCAAGCACAAGTTCAAGTTGCCGAACCACCTCCCCCCTTCATTCGCCAGTCTCAGCCGGCGATCCAAGGACAACCGCCAAGGCAAGGCCAAGCCCCCTTAACTTGGAGAAAGTTCAGAACAGACCGTGCAGGCAAAGCTGTGATGGCGATCGAAGAAGTGCAAGCCCTCCGCAAGGAATTCGATGCCCAGCAAGCGAGCAACCATCAACAGCCAGCCCGCAAGAAGGTCCGAAAAGACCTCTACTGCGCCTTTCACGGACGCTCTTCGCACACCACGGAGCAATGCTGAAACATTAGGCAACATGGCAACGCACAAGACCCAAGGCCGCAGCAAGGAACGACTGTCGAAGCACCATGCGAAGCAGTTTAGGAGCAAACACCCCCAGCCGAACAACGCCAAGATGTACAGCGAAGGGTAATCCAAGTGATTACAAGGGCTGACCCGCCAAGCCAGTTGTCCAAACGGCAGAAGAAGATGCAGATCCGTATGATCCACAGCATCACTTTGGCGGGTGAGGGGGCGCCGCAGTATCTGAACCAGCTAATTTCTTTCGGGCCGGAAGACGCAGAAGGAGTTATGTTCCCGCATCAAGATCCCCTGGTAATCTCAGCTGAGATAGCTGGTTTCGAAGTCCGACGAATCCTGGTCGACGGAGGGAGTTCGGCCGATGTTATCTTCGCCGAAGCATATGCCAAGATGGGGTTTCCTACCCAAGCACTTACCCCAGCACCAGCATCGCTCCGCGGTTTCGGCGGAGAAGCAGTTCAAGTTCTCGGCCAAGCACTTTTGCTGATAGCCTTTGGCTCAGGGGAGAACAGACGCGAAGAGCAAATACTGTTCGACGTCGTCGACATCCTGTACAACTACAACGCCATCTTTAGCCGTGCAACCCTGAACAAGTTCGAAGCCATTTCCCACCACAATTATCTCAAGCTCAAGATGCCCGGCCCGGCAGGGGTGATAGTAGTCAAGGGGCTTCAGCCTTCGGCCGCTTCAAAAGGCGATCTAGCCATAATCAACAGAGCAGTGCACAGTGTTGAGACCGAACCGCATGAACGGCCGAAGCACACGCCAAAGCCCACCCCTCACGGCAAGATAACAAAAGTGCAGATTGATGATGCCGACCCCACAAAGTTCGTATCACTAGGGGGTGATATAGGCGAAGAAGAAGTTGAGAGTATCCTAGAGGTGCTCAAAAAAAACATCGATATCTTCGCCTGGAGCCCTGACGAGGTGGGGGGTGTCCCGGTGGATCTCATCATGCATCACCTAGCAGTCAAGCCGGACATTAAGCCAAGAAAACGAAAGTTGCGCACGATGTCTGCCGATCGCCAAGAAGCGGCGAAAGCCGAAGTGCAAAAATTGCTCAGGGCAGGGGTTATCCAAGAGATCGACCATCCGGAGTGGTTGGCGAATCTAGTGCTGGTGCGGAAGTCAAACGGCAAATGGCGCATGTGTGTCAATTTCACGGACCTAAACAAGGCATGTCCGAAAGACGACTTCCCCTTGCCGCGAATCGACCAGCTCGTGGATTCAACAGCTAGATGCGAGCTCATGAGTTTCCTGGATGCATATTCCGGTTACCACTAGATCCACATGAACCCGCTTGACATCCCCAAAACATCCTTCATGACTCATTCGGCACATTTTGTCACCTCAGAATGCCTTTCGGCTTAAGGAACACAGGAGAAACTTTCGCCAGGCTGGTGTACAAGGTCCTTGGCAGGCAGTTGGGGCGGAATGTGGAAGCTTACGTCGACGACATCGTCGTAAAAAGCCGCAAGGCTTTCGACCATGCGATCGACCTACAGGAGACATTCGACAACTTGCGCGCAGCAGGCATAAGGCTGAATCCGGAGAAGTGCGTTTTCGGCGTCCGCGCAGGCTAGTTGTTGGGTTTCCTTGTTTCCGAAAGAGGCATCGAGGCAAATCCCGAGAAAATCGATGCCATCTAGCAAATGAAGCCTCCGTCAAGCGTACATGAAGTACAAAAGCTTGCAGGCCGAATTGCGGCAC